AGGCCATCTTTATTTTTCTAGACTTCAACAGCCCAACTATTCTCCCTACTTGTAGTTTCATCCCTTCCCAAATCCAGTCTCCATACTGTGCCCCATTCTATATACCCAAATCTGATTCTTATCATCACCACTAAGTTTCTCAAACTACACAGAAATTGCCACCAAGATAGATGAGCTCTCCACAAAATGTTTTATTATTGTTGAGGATAATTAAAACAAGTACTTTCTAGATCATGTGACTGAAAACCTAGCATACAGCCATATACCTATCCAAGTATGTGTTTATACTCACAATAACATACTACCACCTTAAACCAAGATCATTCATGAGAAATAAATAATGGCAGACTTAACACACAACTGATTCCACTCAAGAGAATATGATGTTCTTTATTTTCAAATGTATCCAATTTGGGTGAATAGAGAAATGTGATGAAAGAACTGAGCCTTTCCAAGATACCTGTAGTATTGTCAAGCAAAACTAAAAAATAATTTGTTCCATACCATATTCATATTGTAAGCAATTTATAAAATATGTCATATGTCACATTAAATTAATGTTAGGGAATTGAATTTTATTAGTTTTGTAGATTTAATTTATAAAACATTTGATGTTAAGACCTAGAAACACAAATTCAGTATGTTTATACATCTAAAACACTAAAATAAACTTCCAGTGACAAACCAAGCTACTTGAAGTTCTCTAAACATATCTTGCACTTAGAATCACTGTATTCTTGCACTTAGAATCACTGTATTCTTCTTTATCCTAGAGTGTCTCCAATTAAATTTTAGTATCATCTTGCCTCTCCTCCCAGTTCCCTGCTAAATGTTGACAGTCACATCTATGAAACCCCGCAACATCTCCTCTTTGAAAAACCAAACATAAATGCCTAAACAATATTTAGCTTTTGAAGCAAAGGTTTGGTTTTTGTTTGCATATTGAGAGGCAAAGCTCTGGAGCCGTGCTGTTTGACACTGACTAGGTACATCTGGCTATTTAATTTTAAAGTAAAACTAAAAATTGAGTTATTCAGTCAGACTAGCCACATGTCAAGCACTCAACAGTCACCTGTGGCTGAAAAGAGTCCCGTCATCACAGAATGTTCCCCTGGATATGCTGCTCTGTAACTTTTCCCTTTAAGGTCTGAGAAACCTGCTCATGACTTCAAATACAAACTGTGCCGATGACTTCCAAATCTTTCTCTAGTCTTTTTCCATTAACCTAATGGAGTATCTTCAGTAACCTTCTTGATATTTCAACAATGTCAGTTGAAGAGATGGAGGTGGTGGTTGGAAATAATTATGGCAGTCAAGAAAATCAATAAGATATAATGTAATCAAGAATGGAATCGATTTTCAGGGTAAGGTTAAGATTGAGTTTGAGATATCTGAAATAGGTACTGCAAAAATTGTAGTAGAGACTAAAAACAATGCCCCCTTCACCCTACTCTCCCATCCTAAAAGAATTTAAGACCACTCTGCAGAGTTCTTAAAAAGATATCTTTCTGGCCGGGCGCGGTGGCTCACACCTGTAATCCCAGCACTTTGGCAGGTCAAGGCAGGCGGATCACGAGGTCAGGAATGGAGACCATCCTGGCTAACACGGTGAAACCCTGTCTCTACTAAAAATACAAAAAATTAGCCAGGCGTGGTGGCGGGCACCTGTATTCCCAGCTACTCGGAAGGCTGAGGCAGGAGAATGGCATGAACCTGGGAGGCAGAGCTTGCAGTGAACGAGAGGGTGCCACTGCACTCCAGCCTGGGCGACAGAGCGAGACTCCGTCTCAAAAAAAAAAAAAAAAAAAGACATCTTTCCAATCATACCTAAAGATATTATTCATCACCAGTAATTCACCTCTGATGTGGAAAATATGTTAAAATCATAGCTTATAATTACTTAAATTATAATTTAGCCTGTTTCAAAGTTTATTTTGTCAATTAAAGCTCTAATCCTTTCAAGATAAGAGTTTAAAAAACAGAACGTGCTGGGCATGGTGTCTCACGCCTGTAATCCCAGCACTTTGGGAGGCCGAGATGGGTAGATCACCTGAGGTCAGGAGTTCGAGACCAGCCTGGCCAACATTACAAAACCCCATCTCTACTAAAAATACAAAAATTAGCCGGGCGTGGTGGTTGGTGCCTGTAATCCCAGCTACTCAGGAGGCTAAGGAAGAGAGAATCGCTTGAACTTGGGAGGCAGAGGTTGCAGTGAGCCAAAATCATCCCATTGCACTCCAGCCTGGGCAACAGAGCGAGACTCTGTCTCAAAACAAAACAAAACAAACACAACAATGTACTGAAGCCAGATTTACAACCACTCTTACCTCAGATTTCTATTAATTACTTTAAAGCTCTTAGCTTTCTTTACACTGTACTATCATAAAAAAGACATAATACAGTTATTACTTAACTAGCCACAAATACATTTTCTGCTTTATAGAGCTACCTAATATGTTGTTGGTGTTACTTTCAAAGAGAACTTATTTTTTTAAAATGCAAAGCTCCACTTTCTGACCATCTAAATAAAATCACATGCAAAAAGACCATGCCTCCAAAAATTCATGCAGAAAGCTTCAGTAAACAATGAAAATGAAAGGCATTTCCAAAATAATGTATAGTATATTTATTTATTTAATAAACATTAATTACCACTATACACTTCTGAAATGAGGTGGATGGTAAATCAAATAAACATAAAGCAATATTTATTAAGTACCTACAGTGTGCAAGGCTTTGGCTACATAGACAAAAACAAAAACAGGCATGGTCCTTGCCCTCATGGAGCTCACAGTCTAGCTAAAGCAGACAAACAAGTCACAAACACAATGGCAAAGCACCAGGGAAGCATTATGGAGGAAAGGATTGGTTCTGCCTGGAGTATGCAGGGAAGGCTTCCCAGAGATGGAGACAACGGAGCTGGGTCTTGGACGAGTAGGAGTTCACCAGATGAAGGGGAAAGGGGTAAGCACATTCCAAGCAGAGCAAACAGCGCATGAGCAAGCAGAGTCTTGAAAGCACATGCCATGGTGCAGGACGATGAGCGTTCCAGCGCAGCTAGAGCAGAAAGGTGCACACAAACTGAAGAGATGAATTAGTGTTTGGTTTTTGATGAAACGTTAAGTGTCAGAAAAATAAATCTGCATATTACACTTAACGTAACTAAACTGGGGTTCTGGTACAGAACAGTAATCTGAAAGTACTCTTCATTTCATAAATACTGAAGCCCCTTTCATAGGTACCCAGCACTGTGTTTTAAGATGGCAATTTTAGAAACATAAACCTGAATTTTCCTCTGTACATTTAAGAAGCAAAGTAACCCCAGAATAAAGGTTTCCTGAAGCTGAAATCACAGTGATTTATACACACACAAGATCCTAACTTTTGCTAACTTGGGCTCCCCGTCTACTGCTATTCTTACCTTTCTTAACATCTTCATAATGACCAACTCAAATCCACCCCATAGTTAAGGAATATAGAGGCAATTTAGCCTTCTCTTCCACTCTGCCTCTCTAAACAAAGGACCTGCCAATGTCCCTATGAAAACCAATGCAAGGTATTATGCTATGAAGAAACAATGCATTTTGACCTCTGTATCAATTATTAGAAATTATATTACTGTAAACTGCACAAATTTAAGCTGAATTTCGAATGAAGACAGGTATGAAGCAGAGACCCCATGCCCCTCAGAAAATGTAAAATGACAAGAGGGAAGAGAGCTTGGGTCAGAAAGTTTCCAACGCTGGCCACGAGGCAACACTGTTCACTGAGGTGGCTTGGTGCTCAGGAAAGGGGGTGGCTTACGGAAAGAGCAGTGTGGAAAGCAAAGGAATTAACGTGGGTCAAATTTACTTTGCTAGATGTTCTAAAAAATTCCCATTTACTCCTCACAACAATGTGAAGGGAAAATTTTCTTTCTTTAATTTTACAAATGAGAAACTGAAGGCCCTTGGAGTCTAAGAAAGTTTCTCATGACTGCATCAGCTAGTAAGTAGCAGAGCCAGTTCACCAAGTCATGCCTTCCTGGGTCCAAAGCCCTTCTTACTCCACTACGCTGCCTAAAATGCCTACGGTTCCTAAAATGAGCCCACTGGGACTTACGGGATTACATGAGTCCCATTAGTCCCACACATCAGTCACATCTTAAGAAACAGAGCCCCTGCTTCTCCCTCCACTATTTTCACTGTCACTGTGAAGACAATGGTGGTAGCAATACACATACACACAGATCCCTGAAGTTTAGAGGAAGAAAAACTAAGAAAAAATAGTCACATAGGTTTAGTTGACCTCAGGGAAAAAGCAGCTTTCTTTGTAAAGATATTGGATTCTTTAACACAATTAAATTAGTACAGGCTTAAGTATACCTCATCTGAAATGCCTGTGACCAGAAGAGTTTCAGATTTCAGATATTTTCAGATTTGGAATGTTCAAACTGTATCGTAATTCAAATGAGATTTGCTTCAATTGCTATACAATAAACTATCAACCAAACAGCTCGATAAAGCTAAGAGCTAACGGAAAAATATCCAAACATAGTATTAGAATATTATTCCAAAAACTCATTATCTTCAACATCATCAAAGGTCAAAAAAACCCCAAAAACAAAACACTGCCCTTTCTCAAAACCTGAACCTGAAAATCAATACGTAATTATAAACTATGAGATAAAGATACCTGCCACATTAAAATGTTGTCACTTTTTGGACAACAGGAACGATTTTGAGGGAAAAAGGAAAAAAAGCAGACAACACTAAAGAAACCTTTTGTAAACAGCCCCAGTGGGTCAGAAAGTGTGACGTTCACTGACCTAGAGAGATACTGAAATGCTATTTTCTACTGTGCACAATTTACTTATGTTCTCTCTTGCTGGGACAGGGTGGGCAGGGTACAGGGACATGCATGGGACATTTGGACAACCAAAATTCCAGTGACTATGATGTGAGATACTTTTTGGACAGCTTTCGAAGTAGCATATACATGCGATAAGTAAATTAACCAACCTTATTTTGATTGAGAGGATCGTTTCGCAGTCTCTGTTTGTTCTTCTGTAATTTACTAGGCATCATCTTTCCAGTTCTGAAGTCAAAACTGCTGAGATCAACAGTATTTCCCAGGTACCTTGCCAACTGAGGCTTGCTTCTGAACTTCTTACCACTTGGACTAAAAGAAAGATAAGGTTAATTGAATAAAAGGCAACAATATTTACTCTAGGTCTCTACATAAGCCTTTTCTTCATGTCTTCCTCTACCCTCAATTGATACCCCATTCTATTGTACATATTTTTAAAGAAATGTTAAAGTTCTGCTAGGCATGGTGGTTCATGCCTGTAATCCCAGCACTTTGGGAGGCAGAGGCGGGTGGATCACCTGAGGTCAGGAGTTCAAGACCAGTCTGGCCAACATGGTGAAACGCCGTCTCTGCTAAAAAAAAAAAAAATACAAAAAATTAGCCGGGCGTGGTGGTGGGCGCCTGTAATCCCAGCTATTCGGGAAGCTGATGCAGGAGAATCGTTTGAACCCAGGAGGCAGAGGTTGCAGTGAGCCAAGATCGTGCCACTGTACTCTAGCCTGGACAACCAGAGCAAAACTCTGTCTCAAAAAAAAAAAAAAAAAAAAAAAAAAAGTTAAAGTTTTACAGGGAACTCCGTAACTTCCCTGTAAGAAGAGATCACGTGTCACCTAATATAACGCTCCCCTAGGTAGTCCACTAGAACACATAACATGTTGCCACAGCCTATCCCACAGGTCACTCAGCAACTACTGCGAGAACCTAAATCCAAACTTCATGCACAGCATAACAGGCATACTAAAAATGTCTTCAATCTCACAAACTTCCTTTCCAAATTGATTTTGAAATGCTTTTTTTCCCTGCAAGTATTACATATACAACTATGCCAGCAATAATCAGAAAAAAACTTGATAACAAATTAATCTGAAGTCAGCAACCCTTGTTTAAAACACACACACACACACACACAAATATGTGGAATCTATATCATATTTGGGCTCATAACACTCACAATAAAAAAATTCTTAAATCTTGACAATATTTAAATGCTAATACTACTGAAATGAGAAAACTAGAGCAAATATTTGTGAACGTGCTTGTACCATGCTGACATGAGTTTTGTTAGCCAAACTCCTCCCTTAGGGAAGCACATGAAGAATAATTTACTTCTGGTAAGTAATACCGCCAAAGCTGGAAAGTTACAAAAATGCCAGAATTATATGGAGGACTAGTCTTTCCCAAAAACATTTTTTCCTGTGTGGCATTAATCTGTAAGAAATTTTTTTATAGGAATAATGCCCCAAAGTCTCACCTAATAAATTTTCTGAACGAAATAAATGTGCTAGAACAAAGTCAGTGTGGTATGTCACAAGAAAATTGCGAGAATTCTAGAATACTTCTCAAAGAAGTCAATGTGTCACATTTAGAACTTAACCTTGCACCAAGTGACCACAATAAAAGAAAAATAACTCATAAGAAGATAAAAGGAAAAAGGCTGAGAGATCAAGCAATAAATATTCTCTTGGAACAAGAAAACTTCTCTCTGGGTCAAATCCACAGCAATACACCCCTGACTTGTCACAAACTCTTTGATAGTCTGTCCCAACACACTTCAAGACAACTGAAGATCCTATCGACATTCTTTTTCCACAACCACATGACTTAAGTACTCCTGAAACACAATTCAAGGTATAGAGTTCAGCAGGCAGATGAAGATAACAACCAGTAACAACAAGAACAATACAAGAAAGCACCAGAGGAGAGAGTACGGGATCCCACACAAGCAAAGCTCAACTCCAACTCTAACCTGGATTTCCAGAATACTCAGTATCACAAAATAAAACAGCAAGTCACTCGCAATATTGTCCAAAACTTGAATCATCTCTGCCCACCACACAACACAGTTCCACCCCCAAAACCTGATCTTCTATACTCCACACCTGTGTCAGCAGCACTGCTGTCCACTTAGCACTTCATTCTCCAAGCTAGAAGGCCACATTACAATCCTTCAGCACCCCCATGTCTCAGTCACACATCCAGTACCAAGTTCTAAACGTTCAGGTTCCTCAATGTTGACAAAAAAGCTTCACCTCCTTAATAAGCCATCAAAAGCTTTACGTCTGTTATATTTTCTTTCCAGACTCTTTTCCCAACAGCCTTGGTGGCCTACATTCCAAACTCTAAATCACCAAAATATGCCATATACCTTTGAATCTTCCAGTCATGTCTTTGCAGATGGAAGGATGAGCACAGAAACATCCTGCCTATCAAAAGGCTATTAAATCCTCCAAGTCTGGCTAAAATGTGCTCCACTTCCACTAGGAAGTCTTCTGAGATTCTCCAATTCAAGTCAGAAATAATCTACTACTACCCGAAATTCTATTTCCATTACAATAATTCCTATATATTTCCTTGCTGAGTCAAACAACAATGCCACTTTTAAACTTCAAACACCATTAAAGGCTAGCACTGAACAAGGTAACTTTCTGAGAGCAAAAAACCTTATCAGTTCAATACTAAATGATGTGGTTTTTGCAGACACAATGAGATAAATACTATCGCTTATTTAAGTTATATGGCATACAATTTTTAAAACTAAGCTAGAAAACATTTTCATTAATGTGTTTTACCACATAAGAAATAAAGTATTATACTTTGTCATTATACTAATGACCTAAATTAATATGAAAAACTAGTAAAGATTACTCTGCTATTATGTCACTTATAAAAAGCTGCAATAGCCGGGCATGGTGGCTCACGCCTGTAATCCCAGCACTCTGGGAGGCCAAGGCAGGCGGATCACGAGGTCAGGAGATCAAGATCATCCTGGCTAACACGGTGAAACCCTGTCTCTACTAAAAATACAAAAAAATTAGCAGGGCGTGGTGGCGGGCGCCTGTGGTCCCAGCTACTCAGGAGGCTGAAGCAGGAAAATAGCGTAAACCCGCAAGGCGGGGCTTGTAGTGAGCCAAGATCGCGCCACTGCACTCCAGCCTGGGCAACAGAGCGAGACTCCATCTCAAAAAAAAAAAAAAAGCTGCAATAGCCATATGGTCCTTATTATCAGATACTCAAGTTATTGGTAAACAAGATTCTGATAAACTAGTTAACATACCACAAAAAATGAATAAACAAAATCTCTCCACAAAATAAAATGACAATTCCGTGGCCAGGCACGGTGGCTCATGCTTGTAATCCCAGCACTTTGGGAGGCCGAGGTGGGCGGATCACCTGAGTTCGGGAGTTTGAGACCAGCCTGATCAACATGGAGAAAACCCATCTCTACTAAAAATACAAAATTAGCTAGGTGTGGTGGCGCATGCCTGTAACCCCAGCTACTCAGGAGGCTGAGGCAGGAGAATCGCTTGAACCCAGGAGGCAGAGGTTGCGGTGAGCCGAGATCGTGCCACTGCACTCCAGCCTAGGCAACGAGCAAAACTCTGTCTCAATAAAATAAAATAAAATGACAATTCTCAGTTATCCCTCAGACAGTGCAATAAAAAACAGTTCAAGAGTAGACCCCATATTTCAACAGATTCATTTTCCACAAGATGAAATGTTCAGGCAGTAACTCTTACCAAAAAGATAAGCACACTGCTCTTAGCATATGGCTTAGCGAACAAATAGCAAGCTATTTATGAGGGAATCAATTAACAACCTTCACAAATTAAACCTGCAATAAGTAGTTCCTCATTTAACAGTTGAAATGTCAGTTATCCACTGCAGCTGAAAACATAATAGAGCCTCAGTACAATGTTCCTCTACAGAACAAAACTCATTAGCGATCAGTTCATTTTAGATACCTTTCTCCCAAATCAAGATAATTTGAACTCAATTAAAAGGCTATACTCACGAAATGTGATCGCTTATGTTTATCATCTAGATTAGCAGTTTATTAGCAGTTTAACACGGCTTCATATTATTTCTATGTTTATTGATTTTAAAAATGAAATGGGGGGCCAGGCACAGTGGCTCACACCTGTAATCCCAGCACTTTGGGAGGCTAAGGAGGGCAGACTGCCTGAGCTCAGGAGTTTGATACCAGCCTGGGCCAACACGGTGAAACTCCGTCTCTACTAAAATACAAAAAATTAGCCCAGTGTGGCAGCGTGCACCTGTAATCCCAGCTACTTGGGAGGCTGAGGCAGCAGAATCACTTGAACCTGGGAGGCGGAGGTTGCAGTGAGCTGAGACTGTGCCACTGCACTCCAGCCTGGGCAACAGAGTGAGACTCCATCTCAAAAAAAAAAAAAGAAATGGAAGGTATTTATTATAAACAAAAAGGCTAGACATCCTCTACTAATAAACTAAATTAGCAATGAAGGAAAAAAGGTAGAAGTTTTAACTATTAGCATATTCAAAAGAAAGCTGGAATATTCGCCAGTAACCAACAAATTCTTATTCATAATGAATCACCATTTCCTGTCTTACAGATGGAATTCTTTTTTTTTTTTGAGACGGAGTCTTGCTCTGTCACCCAGGCTGGAGTGCAGTGGCCGGATCTCAGCTCACTGCAAGCTCCTCCTCTCGGGTTCACGCCATTCTCCGGCCTCAGCCTCCCGAGTAGCTGGGACTACAGGCACCCGCCACTTCGCCTGGCTAGTTTTTTGTATTTTTTAGTAGAGATGGGGTTTCACCGTGTTAGCCAGGATGGTCTCAATCTCCTGACCTCGTGATCCGCCCGTCTCGGCCTCCCAAAGTGCTGGGATTACAGGCTTGAGCCACCGCGCCCGGCCTACAGATGGAATTCTATGAAACATCTGTATTGGATAGCTACAAGTATCTGTCATACATACTGCTGCCTTCAGAAAACAGTACTACAAGCCATTTTCTTCTCCGTAACTGCTACAGTCTGTGTGTGGTGCTTTAAGGGAAGTCAACCTGGCTGCCCCAGGGGATTTTAGGCCAGAGACCTTACTCTTCAGGAGTTGAAAGCAAACATGGAGGATGGCAAGGTCCAAGGGAATGGTTAAGTAGGAATTCTGCCCATGAGATGAGATACACACCATCTATACAGGGGCAAACTGACCTTGGGAGAGGCAAACTAAGGAAATAAATGCTAGATGAACAAAAAGACTGTCACCTAAGTTCTACTCTTACCCAAAGTGATTAAATTTAATCACCTATCTACCTTCAATAATGGCTGCTGTAGG